CATGAACCTGTCGCAGCTCTCGAACGGCTACTCGCGCGCCAAGGGCAACCTGTACGGCCACGTGGCCATGGACGAGGAGGCGGCGGCCATGTACCAGGAGCCGTTCAAGGGGCCGCTGCACAACCCCGGCTACCACACGCTGGCGCCGTCCGACGCCTCCTTCAAGGGCTCCAAGCCGCCCGGCGCCGACGACTCCGTGGATTACGCCATCCCCGGCATGAACGTGACGCCGCCGCCGCCCTTCTCCGACGCCTTCTCGCCGCCGCCCATCCCGCTCTCGCGCCCGCCCGCGTCGCTCGCCCGAGGCCTGTCGCAGGAGCACGCCCTCCTGGCGCCGCCCACGCCGCCCATCCCGCCCCCGCCGCAGCAGCACTACTTCACGGCGTCGCAGGTGTGCCAGGCCGGCAACATCCAGGGCGTGACGGGCGGCGTGGCGTTCGCGGCCACGGACACGGCCGACCTGGCGGAGGACCAGGCGGTGCCCGAGGTGCCCCGCCACTGCCTGACGGTGCTGGAGACGCTGGGCGAGGGCTGCTTCGGCACGGTGCAGCTGTGTGAGATGCGCACGACGCCGCGCAGCAAGAGCAAGGCGCTGGTGGTCAAGAGCCTCAACGTGGACGCCGACGACGACGCCCGGGAGCTGTTCCTGCAGGAGGCGCGGGTGCTCAGCCTCATCAACGACCCGAACGTGGTGCGCCTCGTGGGGACCGTGACCCGCGCCGGCGCCCTCGGCGTCCTCGTCGAGTACCTCGAGCACGGCGACCTCGCTCAGTTCCTGCAGCGCCACAACCCGGAGGCGAGCGTCGCGCCCGTCAGGAGGGCGCCTATCTACGAGGGCCTAGATCCGCCCGTACTCAGCTACGGCGCCCTGGTCTACATCGCCTCGCAGGTGGCGTCGGGGATGAAGCACCTGGAGAAGCTGAACCTGGTGCACCGCGACCTGTCGGCGCGCAACTGCCTGGTGGGGCGGGGCCTGGCCGTCAAGGTGTCCGACTTCGCCATGAGCCAGCCCAGGCACCACAAGGACTACTACCACCTGGACGAGAAGCGCGCGCTGCTGCCGATCCGCTGGATGGCGTGGGAGGCCATCCTGCAGGGGCGCTTCTCCTCCAAGAGCGACGTGTGGGCCTTCGGCGTGACGCTCTGGGAGATCCTGACGATGGCGCGGCAGCAGCCCTTCGACGAGCTCAGCGACGACGGCGTCCTGGAGAACGTGTCTCACTGTTACCATGGCGACGGCTCCGGCATGATGCTGCTGCCGCAGCCGCCGCTCTGCCCGCGCGAGATGTACGACATGATGGCCGCCTGCTGGAGGCCCAACCCCCGCCAGCGGCCGCCCTTCTGGGAGGTCCTCATGTTCCTGCAGCGCAAGAACCTCGGATACACTCTAGACTACGTCGAGTGAAAAACTCCCCTGTGCCATGTCTCATTTATTCACAAAATGAACGACGGACTCAACGAAATCAAACACAGCTGCTTCCTTGGGTGTTTTTTTTTTAATGTGTGACGCATCCTCGATCCTGTTCCAAGGAGGGACTCATACACGACAGTTGCACTACTTAAAGGAAAGGAACAACGTACTTATTAAGCCTCGACTGTACCGAGGACTGAACTACTTGGGACTCGAACTGGACGCGATGCAAACACACCTGATGGACAAATCTCTGCTTCCAACCTGGGCTTTTGGGAGTACGAGCGCGAGTGAGTTACGACGGAAAAGCGAAAAGCACTCAGTCATCTCACTTCAAAGCCTGTGATTCATCTGTGATATATCTTAGTCAGGGACTGGCCATCACATTGGTGGCTTGTGAACGTTATTACTATTTTCCTTTTTTTTTCTTTTCTTTTTGTATATATCAATGCATTACGATTGAACTTAGACGTTGTGGGAAAGTGATCATGTTACAGCTCTGTTTAGGCAAATACACAGCTCTGGAGTAAAGGCATTTTGTCTTTCTCCAAAAAGCCTCAACATTTCTATAAACAGCAACGAGAGGTCTTTTTTTTTTTTTTTTCTTTTAGAAAAGCTTTTGTTTTTTTCTATATTGTAGTTCCAGGCGTGGTTTTTGGCATTTTAGTCGGAATATAGTTGGTAAAAAATATTAAGTATATACATTAAAGATGGCTTGATGAATTTCATTTCAACGAATTTCTTTCATAATTTCGTACGGATATGTGCTATTTATGATGTCTTTTTTAACATCTTGTAAAGCTAACTTGTGTTATATATTTATAAACGCAAGGGTGAAAATTTTATTACGAGTGGTGTGTGTGTTTCATAGTGCGAATAATAAAACATAATTGAGTGTGACAGATAGCACGATAGAAATCTTAATCACCTTTTCTTGTCTGTCTGTCTCTTTATCTGCCCCTCTCTCTTTCTCTCTCTCTCTCTCTCTCTCTCTCTCTCTCTCTCTCTCTCTCTCTCTCTCTCTCTCTCTCTCTCTCTCTCTCTCTCTCTCTCTCCCTCCCTCTCTCTCCCTCTCCCTCGTCCTCCCTCTTTCCCTCTTCCTCCTTCTCCTTCTCCCTCTCTCTCCCCCCCTCCCTCCCCCTCCCCTCTCCCTTCCCCCCTCCCTCCCCCTCCCCCTCCATCTTCCATTTATTTGCACTAAACAGCATGCCATACGAGCATTATTCACTGCCACTCACTTATAATGCATAGCTTCCTTTTTTTATACATAAACAGATAAAAATCGCGACCCGCACCAAAAAACACCTTCATTATACATTATACATTAAAGAAAAAAAAATACATATATATATCTTAAATAAATTTCCTTTGTAGCATAAAGAGATTTATAGTCGGTGAATGTGATCTGGCCTGCAGGATCTATGGAATCTGAAAGCTTACCTCTTCTTGTAAATATGGACTGAACAGTGTACAATAAATATGTTCGCGCCTTCCTCTGGGTTTTATTCATTCATTCATTCTTTGATGTAGCGTCGTTGAGCAAAATTGGAAAGATAGGGAAATTAAAAAAAGATAGATAGATATAGAGATAGAGATTTTATAAAGTGTATGATGGTTGACGATGATAATGGTAATACTGGTAGTAGTAGTTATAGAAATAAAATGAGAAAAATAATATTCATTATAAATCATGTGTACATATGTTATTACTCCGCACCCCACTCCTCGGAAAAAAAATAATATATAATCATTATAATAGGGATACTGATGATGATGGTGATAATGATAATAATTACAATGATAATCATGATGATGAAGATGGTGTTGTTGATGATGATAATGATGGTGATGATAATGATGATAATAATATTGATGATAATAATGATGATACTGATGATGATGATACTCATGATAATGATATTGATGATGATGATGATAATGATAATGATAATGATAACAATGATGATGGTGATGATGATAATGATGACGATGATAAGGATAATGATAATAATGATGGTGGTGGTGGTGATTATGATGACGATGATGATGATGATGTTGATAATAATAATAATAATGATTGTTACTATTGCCTTAATAAGAATAAGAATAAGAATAAAAATAATTATAGTAATTATGATAATAATGATACTACTACTACTGCTACTAATAATAAGAATAAGAATAAAATCAGAATAAGAAAAAAATATTAATAACAATAATGATAATGATAATTATGATGATGATAATAATAATAATAGTAATAATTATAATAACAATAATAATAATAATAATAATAATAATAATAATAATAATAATAATAATAATAATAATAATAATAATAATAATAATAATAATAATAATAATAATGATAATAATAATAACAACAATAATAATAATAATAATGATAATAATAATAACAATAATAATGGTAATATTGATAACAACAATAATGATAATTAAAGATGAAGAAGAAATAGAATAGTACTAATAATAATTATGGCAATGATAGTGATAATAATGATGATGATAATGATGATGATGATAGTTATAATATTATTGATTTTATTTCATTATTGTTATTATCATTATTGTCATTGCTATTATTATCATTAACATTGTTATTATCATTATTGCTGTTAATATTATATAAATAGACAGATAGACAGATGAATAAACAAACAGACAAATAAACAACGAAACACATAGCAAAAAAAAGAAAAAGATAGGATCAGAATGAGGAAGTCCCCCCCCCCTGTTAATTATGACAGATAGGACGTCCGGCCTCTGCAATTATCTCGCTGCTCACTGTTGCAATGCAATCCGTCTGCATGACATGGGGGCATGCGGGCTCACTTGCTGTTAAATCTGCATAAAAAAGGGCATGTGGGTATTCATAAAGGGAGGGGGGGGAGGGTATGGGAGGAAGGAGAACATGGGGAATGGGGAGGGAAAATTAGGGGGGGGGGAGGGAGGGAAGGGAGGGAGGAAAAAGGGCGTGGGTTGGGGGGGGATATACATAGAGGGGAAAGGGGGGGTGGGAGGAGGAAAATAGGGAGGGGGGAAAGGAAGGGAGGAGAGGAAATGAGAGGAAGGGGAATGGGAGGTGGGGGGAGGAAAATGGGGAGGGGGGAAAGGAAGGGAGGAGAGGAAATGAGAGGAAGGGGAATGGGAGGTGGGAGGAGGAAAATGGGGAGGGGGGGAAAGGGAGGAGGAGAGAAAATGCGAGGAAGGGGATAAAGGGGAAATGGGGAAGGGGGGGGAGGGTATGGGTAGGAGGAGAATGGGGAGTATGGGGAGAGGTAAATGGGTAGGGAGGGGAGAGGGTAAGGGAAGAAGGGGATGCGGGGAGGTAAATGGGGAGGGAGAGGAAGGGTATAATGAAGGGGAAAACTGGGGAACAGGGAGGGGAAAATGCAAGGGGGGGAGGAGGAAAGACAGAAAAAAAGAAGGGAGAGAAAAGTATAGGAGGAAAAAGATAGGGTGTAAGGGGAAAGGTAAATGGGTAGAGAAGGGAGAAGGTATGGGGGGAAGGAAGGGAGGGGAAGGAGAAAGGGAGGAAGGAGGGAGATAGAGGAGGATAAGAAGAGGG